TCCATTCGCTCTGACGAAGGGCTAACGCTCGAAACGTCAGCTTTTTGACTCTTTACGGTGGCCAATTTACAATTTCAACCTAGTTAATATAAGCAAACCACTTGATTGACCGGGCTCGTGTGAAAGTCTTTATTATTGTCTACAAAACACCACACTGAAACTGCCTTAATAATATGCATAATTTTACTTTAACAAAAGAAACATCAAAGCGAAATTTTTCTCTCCTCACCCATAGTTAATAGAGGGGACGATCCACACGACGCCTCCACGACGCCTACACGGTCCACAGCCAAAGACCGCACAGTTTCGGCCTGGCATGGTATATTATAAAACTATATAGTTAAAACTCCAATAATTATCTCCATGTAATCAAAAATCTACGTAAGGTATCGCTTCTTGTCAATGTCTTCCCCATGCGCTCTGTATTCAGCTGGTTGACTGTGCACTCTCGTGGTGACGTCATAGGGCCAAAACGAAAACAAAGCGATACTCCTTTGATGTTCACTGGGTCTCCTAACCAGTCCCCTCTATTAACTATGGTTAGAGATAGTCTTCCTAAATTTCTTGGAAACAATGGGAATTCATTACTATGTCACTCAGTCTTGAGTAAGGTGACCTTCAAATTTCTGCCTTTGAAAGAAAATGTCAACAAAAGCACACATTTTCCTCAGTGTGGCGACTTTAAACTTCCCTAACGTGTCATTTGTAACATGTTCGCAAATATTGTGCTCATCATATAATACTGGATGAGCAAGTCTGATTTCGGAAAAAACATCCGCTACATCCTTTTACCTTGCTTCGTGTTCAAGGTAACCGCTTTCATCTTCGATGAGACTCTTGTTGTCATCGTTGTTTGCTTCCTGCTCTGGATCTTTCGGGACTGTGGCTTTTCTTCATCTCAAAGCAGAAAGCCTCATGAAGAAGCTTTGAACCTGGCTCTTCGTTAGCCATTCATTTCTGGTGATTTGTTTAGATGGTAGTACTTTGAATGACTTGATACGTTGTCCTGGCATTCCAGTAAAGATATCGGGGCTGAAACTCTTAAATACCTGCAGCCACTATAATTCTTGCTTTCCATGAAGACATTTTTATGCAATAAATTTCTCAAAACATATAAATAACTGAAGAACCTCTCCTCTCAGCTAAACAAACACGTGGGTAACAGACTTAGTTAAAAGCCAGGGAGCTGGATCGAGGCATGTCAGAACCTTCACTCCCTCAAAAAAAATTGAACAGCAGGGGAGGGTAGACCAATGTAAGCTCAAATACCATCACAATTCCTTTACCTCAGTCCATTTATAACTTTCGGTTCTAATTCATTACATCAACTACTTTTTAGTTACCATTTACATACCTGCGAACCAATGCATGTCATGAAACAAATGGACTAGTTACCATAATTACGTCACGCAATATACCAGGCTGGATTCGGTTGCGGGGAAAAATTAAGCTTGTCCCTAGAGAACTTTTTGGATTGTAACGTCACAAAATCTCTAGTGATGGTAGCAAATGTTCAGCAAATAGGGCCACTTGACTGCATTCCGTGTGCAAAACCTGGGTAGAAACTGCAAGAATTCTTGCAGAAGGTTGTTTTGTAAATAACACCATAATGTACATGTATTTTAACTTGTTTGTGTGTCCTTTTAAGCTACACAGTATGTCTGCAATGACCCGAACGCTAAATTGGATTCTTTGATATTGTTCTTCTCCACTCTGTATGTGGCTCTTCACCTGATTCATGGAAAATTATTGAGGAAGCGCCTTCCGATCGCCTTTGTTTACTTTGTAAGTCATGGAAGTGTTACGACTGATCATGTTTATGCAACGTTTTAGGACAACACGGGATTTATTTACCATTCAATTGTAATGAAACCCTAAAATACTTTACGTAGAAGGTAAAATAACGAAGTTTGAACAGTCAAAGACATATCTTGGTCATTTTTCAGAATTATGCAAATTAGCTTTGACACGTGCATGATTAGGTAAAGACATTGATTTTCATTGTTTTTAAGATGATGGTGGATGAAAGCTAGAGAGATACCCACAGGTTTGAAGCAATCGGTGACCTCATTGGTATATAAACTATCCTCCAATATGTTTTTTTAGCCTGATTTACACCTGCATTTTGAGAATTCTTTCTTTTAAATTGGTTAATTTTTTATATGCAAATAAAGGTCGGAGGGAAGGGTCTCTTCTGATCACGCTAGTATGAATAGGATTTCAATTGAAGTTTCCATATTTTGTCTGTGAACTGACTGAATATAGCTTACAACTTGAAGCAACAAAGAATTCCGTGAACTACACCATTACAGTCGCAGCGTGCTCAACAAAGGCTGTGAATTTACACTTTCGATCATTGTCTACATGGGCGGCCTAGCCAAAAGTCAATTTCCGCTTGTGGCGAGGCAAAAAAAGAGAATTGGAAAACAAACACTGTATTTTTGAAACATGTGTCCTAAACCCCTTTCATAGGAAAAAAATCAAGGAAAATTTTTTTTGGACAGGAAGTTGAGAGGACCGCTCTTAGCGAGAGTGGCACTCAATACAGTAAAACAAATACCTTGACCATGTTTTTTCAAAGAACAACTACAACGAAGACTTCATTCGACAAAACACTCACCAACCTACTACTACAATCAAAACAAATGACACTGCAACTCCTATGACTACAGCAACCATACTGTACATAAAAGGCATGTCTGAGAACATATCATGCATCCTACAACCCTTCAATATCCACACAGCCAACAAACCCATCACCACACTACGTCAGTTACTAACCAACGTTACCAGACAAGGACAAACCAAGGAACAAGTGAACTAAGGAGTGATTTATAAGATCAATTGCACTGAATACCAAGCCTCCTACATTGGAGAGACTGGCAGAAACTTCACAACAAGACACAGACGGGTGACAAGGAAAGGTGATGTCAACAATTACATTGCTGAACAACATTGACTTATGTACCATGATATTGATCCAGACTCTGTGCAATGCCTAACCTACAACACTAACTACTTTCAACACCTGACTCTGGAAAGCTGGTTTACTAACATGGAACAGACTCCCATCAACAGGCGTCAGTTACTACTGGCTCCATACAAATGACTCATTCACGACATTAACATCACAAACTAACCAAACAGAACGACCTAACTTTACAGACCGATCAAACAGACTAGTCACTACTGACTTACATCATTACAAAACTGACCAATCATTTTACACGAACTGGACTAAGAACATTCTACTGACAACAACTATTCACTTAACTCTGATGATTACTTCTGCACAGGTTGTCAAAATGTTATTCACCACCACTTCCACACAGGATGTCAAAACATTAGTCACCACCACAGACAACAGTCCTTCTCAGGACTACACTCACCCAGAGGATCATGCACCACTTTCAAAATTAAATTTTGTGAACTATATTGATGCATAGCACATGAGTGTACTTGCACCTTCAATTTTTGCATGAAATAGGGATGCCTTAAATATACTGCAACAAGGTTTGTAAAATTATTGAAAAACATCTGTCTACACAGATATAATAAAAAATTCCACAAATGCATTGGCTGATGTTAAAACCAGAATGAACAAATAACCATTTACACCATACCTTAACAGATATGTTGTTTGATTCAGTAGCCCCACTGGTGAATACAATTTCTTTCAGATCTGCACCAATCAGGTCTGCTACTTGCTGTAGACAGTGGAGTGGTTTAAATGATTACTACTCACCGAAATGTATATTAATAAGATGTTTATACACTAATAGGATCCCAATAATCTTAAGTAAGAGGAATGCCCCTTGGTGGTTTTCAGTAATTACCAATTCCATTTGGAAAAGCCCTTTCAGGCAGGCATTATAAATCAAATGCTGTCTGAAAAATAGTAGAAATAAATTATAATAAATTTCATGCACATGTAATATGTGCACGTTACAAGTGCATTGAGCTGTGTACCTTTCTAGCATGTTCCACAGCCTGCTCACTCTCCCAGCCATAGGCATGTGTACGCGAGTGTGGGTTTCCATAATAAGAAACTGAATATGGCATCATAGCATCCAACACACGTGGGTCCTTCACAAAGAAGTAAATAACAAGAGTATTAACTGTTTTGGTCTAAGGATCAGATGACAAATACTTTTAACTGATCACCATACACTTCTCTCTGCACTAGTACAATCATGTATCTCCTCTTTGATAAGTTATATTTACTCTCATCAGCAAACAGTTTGGTAATGTTTTAAAATTCTAGGGCAACAAAGTGTCCTGATCAAGACTTCAAAAAACGAAATCATTCCTGTATCCTTCATTAAACCATGTGTATGTCCAATAGGGACACAAAATAAATGTATTTTCTGAGAGCTACCAATGTAATGAGGTAGTCATTTAGCTCGCGTACTGGGTATACTAAGCCAAATCTAAAAGAAAAGTGTTTCTCACCAGAGGGGTGGTTGCTTGCGCATCAAGGTAAAGAGGTCTCAACTCTGCCACTTCATTTTCTATCAAATCATATAGATAAATTAACAGAGTTAAAAATAGCAAGAAAAACGAAAAAGTTCACCAACATGTAGGGGAAATAACCATCGGCACTAGTCCCCTTTTTACATTGTTAGATCTTGTACACTAGAAACAACTTAAATTTACCGTAGTAACCCTACATCCATTACTAAAAAGTGTATTAGTTAATAATCAGGGCTCGACACTGATGGTGGCCAACTAGCCCCGGACTAGTAGAAATTCAGTTTTGGCTGGTGGTTTTCGATTTCCACTAGCCAGTTTTGCTAGTAAACAAACTGAAATTGTTGCAACATCTAAGTTGTCACTAGCCACTAGGCTGGTAAGTAGAAAACTTAGTGTCAAGCCCTGCTAATGTTCAGCTGATCCAACTATCTCAGCTGATGTCATACTTAATCAATAACGCATGTATTTTCCATTACAAAATTAAGGTTACATAGGACACCCCTCCCGTACAAAGTTTTATTTAAGAAAGAAAGAAAGAAAGAACAAACCTGAAGTGGCCATACTTGGAGCAGCAGCAGTGGTTTCATCCGTCGACGATGTTTTCAAGCTTTTTGTCACCAAAATTCGACATGCTAACGAGACCAGACGAGGCTTAACTAACAGCCTACTCAACATGGTAGATTATGACCTTCCTGCAAAGTATTAAGAATACGGATTCGTTCTTTAACTTTTGTAAACGTGCTTATTACGAGTGACATAACATGTAGCAGAGCTTGGTAACCGAGCCTATATGGGACCCGAAGGAAAATTTCGGGAGATCCCGGGATGCCGAACCTTTTTTATCCTTATGATACCTCTCCGTGTATACATTTGGATAAGGGCACGATAACACTGCTTGTGATGTAAGGATAAACTGATGAAAAACAGTTAGACTTTTGGTTTACAAAGTACTCTCCAAAAAAGCCTTTTTTATCACTTCAAAAAACGACAGTGGACATTGAGGACGCTTCGTGCAAGCCATGTGGGATTAAACCCTTCGGACTAGGTAGAACCCTTGACTTCTACGCTGCTTTTAGCGTTAGAAAAGCAAAACGCTCGATTGTGAAATATTTAGAATATGAATTGTTCAATCTGGAAGAGTCTCGCTTATAACCCAGAGATAGGCACGCAACGAGTACAAACGGGTTGTCAATAAACTTGCAAAAAAATGTACATTTAGTACAACGTGAGGATTCTCTCCTTGCTTTCATGTCATGTCTCCGGAAACAACATTAAAGAGTGGATTAAACAGAATGTGCGCTCATCGATTACTAGGTTTTACTAGTGTGAGCTGTGCAAGAAACAATGCGAGGATCAGATCATGCCGTCTTCTCTTTTATGTCTTTTATGTCTTTTTTATGTCTTTTATGCAAGTTCTTTTCTACAATAAGCGTCTCTTGAAATAACATGCACGTCCCAGAGATCGCAGAATGGAGAAGTATATATATCAGACCCCAAATGAGACCAAGCTATGCTTTGTGGTTGAGACCGAAACTGCTCGCAGCAGTGGCCAAATGACCTTAGCGGCCTACCGGTTCCTATCTGACCAGTTGGCCGCTGTGATCACCACATCCGGGCTGGTTATTTTCTCACAGTCGCATGTGTTATACTCTCATATGCGTTAAAAAACGAGGTCAATACAGGATCCTCATAAATATGGGGTAATCAGTTTGAAAAACACCGACAACTACGCTGTTATGAGGAAATTGCGTCTTTCAGAGTTATCAAACGAAAAATCAGTCAGTCTCAAGCGAAAGCAGGACTTTTCAACTGTGACTTTTCTATGACATCGCAAACCTAATCGTGTCTAAAATAAGGATAAGTATATATATGGCCATGATGTTTTCAAAATCCTCCTCTTCTCAACGACATTTAGATCTTGTAATTATAAAATGTAACTGAATATTCAAAGTTCGTTTACGAAGTTGATGTTATGTTTTCGCAACAACGATTCGTCTGCGATTCCACTTAATTCGAAAGTACAGTTATATAACCGGTCTAAAGCGAGCTTTTTCCGGGGAAAAATTCACAGTTTGGCTGCATTACAACGGAGTTATTTTCTAGGCCCTTCGTATCCACGTAGCTGAGTGATAAATAAAAAACGTGTTTGGCTTGGTGTGGATCGTATCCAACCAAAGGTCAAGATTAGCAACCTTGAAATATGCAAATAACATTATGCATAACGAGTAAACCGGTTCATCCACTGTTGCACCTTTCACGTGAAGGAAGCGTGTAGGGCCTTCTAGATTTGCGATGATTCAATGTGTATGATCGATATTTGTCCTTGGTTGAAAATCTTTAAACTCTTCAGGCTAATTTTGGTTCTTTTCTTTTTTTTTCAGAGCGAAGATATTCATTGTGGTAGGGATTTCGAGGATTTGAAGCAGCAGAAGTGTTGCTTTCTTTCCATCAATTATTTTTTAAAGTTGTCTGAAATGTTGTCTGAATGCGATTTAGTGGCTTTATCTTCGATGGAACGATTCATGAGCAAGTAGATTTTGAAATAGTTACAGAAAATTTGATAGAGAAGCTGGGTCATCTTGCGGCAGAGCAGTGTATGCAACACGGATTTCTTGAAGGTTTCAAAGTCAAGATCTTATTTCCAACTCAGCAGAAAAGCAGCATCAACAATGTATAATTCAATTGCATCGCAAAACTACTTATTGACACTGGCGATTGAATAGGATTTAGGAGACCTTAGGATAGTCAGTCAATTCGATGTTTATGTTTATGCCTAATAAATATTCAAGAATGGAGAAAAACAACCTCAATGCAAGAGGTCGCTTTCCTTGGTCAGCGTCGACAGAGCTACAAGGATTTGCAACACGCTTGTTTCGCATTCTATTCTCCGTGGAGGTCCTGGAATATTTATCTGTATACTTGTACGAAAAATTGTACTCTCAAAGGGCAACTAGAAACTAGTCCAGCGGTCTAAAATGGGAATTAAGCAAAATTATTCAACTGTATGCAACTAAACAGGTAATTGACAACTCTGAGCAAGTGTCACGAGTTGGCGAAGGAAACAACAGCAGACTAAATGCTCCGCATTGATTTCTTCCTCGAAGCAATTCTTCCTTTGCATTACGTGAGATAACTCATCAAGCTTTTTGTAAACTAGCGCCGAGAAAAGACTTTCAATGGTGTGACTCTATTTAAAAGTTCTTGCAGCATAAATTACCCTCATTAGCATAAGAAAACAAAAAAAATTCGCTCGCCAAGTTGAGCAAGGCGAATGCAACGGATTGAAAATTTGACGATCTAGCTTCCTACAGAGTCAGAATTCGTGAGCATCAGTACCCTAGCTTTAATTTCTTTAAAAAGTTAGAATCAAAAAGCGTTTTGAACCTGCAGGTTGTACAACTTGAAAATAATTTTTGGTAACAGCCGGAAACTTGCAAAACCGGTCATGAACCCGGCCTCCAAACTTGACCGACTTGCATGGTTGCAGGAAAATTTTCGATCAAAACCTTGAATCGGCAGTCGTTGGCCGGTACACTTCACACAGCTTTTCGAAGAGGGAGTTTCGATGGAAGTTTGGTCAAAAATCGAGTTGAATCGACGGAAAATGGTCGAAATTTTCGACCGACCCTTTTAGCAGTGCGCCGTGAATGTGTCAGCCAAGAGCACAGCTGACTTGGAGATCGGATGGAGGGGAAAGCGCTTCGGGTACAGCTCGAACGAAGAGTCGACTCGTGTTGGTCGTGGGTAGTATGTTTTTCATCTTTCATCGTTCAGTTTTTAATTCTTGGAACTCACAATTCATTCGGTTCATTCTTTGTGGCATTGTTGGGAGAATTTCAGCGAAGTGAAGCCGAGACTGGTAAGGAAAATTTATATTTTTTTGCCGCAAACAAAGCTTGCGCGCAAATAAAAAATTTATCGCCGTGACAGGTTATTTTGAAAGAAAAACTCTTGCAATTTTTCATGGCAACGCAACTAACACCCTTTGTTTTATAATGATGTACATTTTCCTACAGCGCAGTGTGGTGAGAAAAATCAAAGCGCTTGACATTTCAAAGCCGCTTTCCGCGCGTGAAAAAAAAATACTTGTCGTGTTCCCCGTGTTATATAATACCGCATCTAGTTGATATATGCAGAAAAGAAAATGGGTCGTCTACAAACAACTCTTACAAATAAGGCAAGCATAGAGATAATTTCGTCAGTAAATTTGGAAATTTTTTGGAAATTCTGTGCAATCGATTTTCTTTCTCTGGAGTAATAGATCTTCCGGCGTCAAACGGGAAGTTTTCTGTCTCCTATGTCTGCCGCCTTAACCGATGATGACCTAGGTCCTACTTGATTCACGGCTCAGTAACACAAAGGAAAACCCAAAGTCATGTGACCGCACCCTCAGGGCGAAAGCGGAAAAGAGTTCAAAAGGGTTGATCCTTTCGCTTTCAAGCGACGCTAAGCTGCTACTAGAACTTCTGATTTTCAATTTTGTCCGGTAGAGTTTTTTTTTCTCGCCTGTCGTCATGTTTTTGTTGACTAGTCGCGTAATTAGTTACAATATTGCCAGTTTCTTCCATAAACTCCCTGTTGCTACTCACTCGCAGCTATTTGGATCAACTTACTGCCTCTTCAAATATCACGGCATTTATACGCAAAATTGGCCGGTTCCAGCTTCGATGAACGTCGTAACGCCTTCTCATCGCAGCATCAATATAATAAATTACTGGGCAAACAAAAAGAAAGTCGATATTGACGCCGCAGAATTACAGTTAATTCGCTGTTCTCTCGAACACCCGATGTCTCGTGAGGGCGCGTGAGATTTCAAGAAATAAAACCGGATTTGCTTTATCAGGCCTGAATTCACATCGCATGGCACCGGAAATTGTTGAAACGTCATGTGAAACACGAAAAAAAAAAGGCTTGAGGGATCTCCGAAATTAAACGAGAGGAAATGGAATCGATTTCAGCTGTAGAGAGTACGATTAAAGCTTCAAAAAGTAAGCAAAATTTTGCTAGTTTCGTGCGAGTCCTTATTTTGTGGGAATCGGCCAGCGGAAGCATACTAAGCGAAAAATGTCAACGACCCGCAAAACAGGGTTTTCCCGGAGATGAATAATTATACAGTTTTGGTAATCTGCATCAAAATGATGCGTCGCCATGGACGTTGATCCTGGGGTGAATCACCGCACATGATAAAATTATTTCGTTTTCCTTTTCTGATAGAACAAAATAGGTAATAATAAAATTAAAAATCTCGCAGAGTCACGAGTTAAGATCTTGTAAGCAATCTTCTTATTTTGTGTTTCCGCGAGAGGTTTGGAAAGAAAACAGTCGAATTGTTGACAAAATATTCCGAGCAAATTTCAGCAGCTGTTCACACCCCGCTGGTCTAGAGTCCATAAATTTTATCAAAGAGGGCTGTTCAAACTACAGATGTTTATCCGCAGTGTATCCCCGCGTGTACATAGAAAAAACTTTCCAGAAAAAAATTTACGACGAGAGGCAAATATCAAACTCAAATTTGCGTTTTTTTTTTTTAAAATTTAATCCTCTTTCGTCAAGGCCAGTTGATGCACGCGATGGTAACAAGGGAGAGATCGAACATTTTTCTAATTCTCTTGCTGTTGTTATTTAGAGTTAATTTTTCCCCTCTACGAAATTTTCAAGTGTTTCCGGGCGATCGATCGGAGCTTAAAGCAAACAGGCCTATTATCATATTTACGGAATTCCTATTGTATTGAAAGAAAATTATGATCGATTTGAATTCGCAGAATGCATCCCTCATATGCAAACAAACATGAATTAGATGAAATTGCGTAAAAAGACACATTCAGACAATTCTGAGTCTGCAGCGCGTATTTATCCTACTTTACATTTCGCTTTACACTCATTTACTTCTCCAAACGTTCACAGATCAGATGGGTTCGGATGTCTTCGGATATTTCCAAGTGATCACCATCGGATTCCTTCGGATCAGCTTCGGTTGCTCAGACTTATCAGTTTATTTAGATAATCATGAGGAAATTGTTCAATTCTATTCAAAACCTAAGCTTTTATGTCCGTCTGCAATAGGTTCAGTTATATTTTCCTTGAATGTTTTACATAATAAATTAAGGTTACTCTACTGTAAGCTGTGTTTCATTTACGCACGTTTGAATTTTTTTTAAGTTTATTTTTTATGATTATTTTCAACAGCATGGATTGGCTCGTTGGCCATGGGTATCACATACATGGCAGCTCCAATTGCTACCAGCCTTTGCGACCGCTGGGGATGCCGGGTGGTCATGTGTCTTGGCAGTGTGACTTATATGGCAGCGATGCTTCTGACATCAGTCGTGCAGCACATGTCACTCATGTACATTACATACGGTGTTTTGTTTGGTTTTGCATCCAGTTGTTGTTACTTCTCATCGTTTTACATCCTCATTCTGTATTTTAACAAGCACCTCGCTCTAGCTAATGGAATCGCCGCCGCTGGCGCCGGGGCAGGAACAATGTCCTTGAGCCTGACGGTGGACAAGTTGATCACCTCGTATGGACTAAGAATCACTTTTCGAGGATTAGCGGCATCGTCCCTTTTTCTTTTCTTAGCTGGACTAACTTTCCTACCAATTGACTTCAGAGAAGGAGAAGATGAGTTTTTGAAAAAGGAGGCACTTCTGAAAGAACAAGAAGAGATAGAAATAAAAGACAACTTGATCAAATATATCAAAGAACTGCTGAAGCCTGCTCCAGTGTGGGGAAATAAGGCATTTGGCGCATGGACCGTGGCTTTAGCTATGGTTCTCATTGCGTACTATATTCCCTACATGTACCTGGTAAGTTCATTTAAGCTCCTATATGCAACATATTTTCGTTAAAAAGTCTGATGGATGGTGATGTGGATCTTAAGCGGTACTCAAGCCTTTGTTTCCCACTATCTTTCCTTGCACTCGAAATACATTGAAGAATGCAGCAAAGAATCTATTTTTACTTGCGAAGACCTATCACTCGGACGCGAACGGAGTGGAATCTGGGCACTAATCTGGCGAAGCTCATCTATTGCTCAGAGGCGGATCCAGGATTAAGTCAAGGGGGGTTCGAAGAATTGTTCGAGGGCATGCTCCCCCGGGAGATTTTGAAAATTAGGTCTTCGCAAACATGATTTCCAGCATTTTGAGCGAAAATTTAGGGGATTCGACCGAACCACCCAAACCATCCCCGGATCCGCCCCATGTTACTGTACCCATTCGCTTTCCGAAGTGCCCCGAAATCTACAGATACATGAGCCGTTCATCCCGTTTGTTTCTCTATTTAATATGCGTTGGTTTTATCTCTGTAGATTCGTCTTGCAGAGAGTGTAGGAATACCTTCAGCTCAAGGGGCCCTTCTGGTTGGTTACTTTGCCTTGGCCCAAACAGTCGGCAAGATCTTCTTTGGGAAGCTTGGGGACTCATCCCGTGTCAGCCGTTTGACTCTTACGCAAACAGCTCTTTTGGTCATCGCCGTGGCAGCATGTCTGTGCCCCTTGGCCCAGTCCCACACAGCCCTTCTCACCTACTCCATGGTGTCGGGGCTCTTTGATGGGTGCCTTTGTGTGATGATCGGTCTTGTTACCCATGACATCGTGGGCCGACAGATGATGGCAAAAGCCGTTGGGACTTTGTATGGCATCGTGGCGATTCCAATGACAGTGGGACCTCCTATGGCAGGTAGATGTTAGTTTTTATTCTAGCCTCATTGGCAGTTATTTTCTCTCACGTAACGTAAAACAATATCAGTCTGTGTTGCTTAGCCAAAAGTTAGTAGTCATCAAAATACAAATGAATAAAGGCTGATAGTTTCGAAAGAAACTGTTTGGGGCTGCGTCGGTGGGAGTAACGAAATAATTTGGATATATCAACAAAGTTGAAATGGTAAATTAGCCACCGTAAGGATTACAAAAGCTGAAGTTTCGAGCGTTAGCCCTTCGTCGGAGCGAAGGGCTAACGCTCGAAACGTCAGCATTTGTAATCGTTACGGTGGCTAATTTACCATTTCAACTTTGTTGATATATCCAAATTATGTGTTGCTTAGCGTTCGTCACCCTTATGTTAAGTAGAACATTCAAAATCCATTCCTGGTATTGATTGTGCATTTAAGTGTCATTGTCTGTGCGCCAGCAGATTGCACTTTGCTCAAATTAATTCTCAAAAAAATTTCGCCTTTGTTATTCCCAGGTTGTGCTCGGATTGCACGGAATTCCCGAGTTGAACAGAGATATGCCATGTGGTATTTCTGCTTTTCTCAGCCATCCACGAACCTGCCATTATCAGATTGGACAGATATGGTTCTCAAATTCCTCAGATGTGACAAGATTGCTTCATTCCTATTTTTGTCTTGCAGGTCTCCTTTTTGATAGCACCGGCAGCTACAACATTGTCTTCTTCCTTTCCAGCGGTCTCGTGATTGGTGGAAGCTGCGTCATGTTTCTCATCCCGATTCTATTTCCCGCCAAGCCAAGCCGACTGAAGGTCATTACTCCAGATATCATTTTGTCAATGCCAGATAAGCTGCAAGACAACGATGACATAGGCCTCCTCGAGGGCGATAAAGCCAAATTAAGAACTTCCCATACGTCCTTTAGGAGCTTCGCTAACGACTTGGAGATCTGCAGGAGTCGCTCGCTATTAGACAGGACGCCGAATCTGAGGTCTCGTCCAAGCAGTTTTGTGCTATTTTCAATCGTGCCGGAAGGAAGTTTCAGAGATTTGTCACAGTTAAATGAACGATATTCCAACAGCAGAGAGGCAAGCTACGCGTCTCTAGTAAGACTTTCAGAAATAATAGTCGACAGCCGAGTCAGCAGCTGTGCTCGGTTAGAACCCGTCGCCGAAGCCGAGATTTCGGATTCAGGTTTGTCTCCCGAGTTCCTTGAAGTAATAAAACCACAAACACCTGTGCCTGAACTGTACGTTACTGCATCAAGGTCATGTGAGTGCATTAACGAGTCTATCAGCCATGTCATGGCTGTAGATCTAAAAGTAGACAGTGCGCCGGCCAAAATTGTCTCCCAATCCACCGAGAGTGGCTTTGCTTCTGAAGAATCTGTCGCAACCACATGTGATAATGGTATCGAGCTTATTTCGTCCAGTTCAGATTTGGATGAAAAACGCCTTAGTGGTTACTCGTGGAATTCAACTGGCAGTGACCTGTCGTGTAAGACTGAGTGTTCTGAGGCTGGCACCGAAGACAGTGGATACGGTGACGAGTCGACGCAAGTACACTGTGTTGCGGAAGGCAGCGTGCAAATAGATGTTCACAGGAAACCTTCCATAAACACTTGCGTCTCCAAAGATAACCTGCAACCAGACTTGAGACAAGATAATGGCTATTGCAGCTGTGAGTCTTCGCTAGATGTACGAAAGAGCTACACTGAGCTCACTGGCAGTGATGACGAAGCGGTTGCTGAGCATGCGCAGAAAGGGCTCTTTATTGAAAACGCAAGCCATTCAAACTTTTACACAGGAGAAAAGAAGAGAAAGGTTTCGGAGGTGTCTCATTGCACATGCGGAGAAGACGAAGATGACGCAGTCAACAAGCTTATTTCAGACGCCAAAGAAATAATTGAACTCAAAAAGCCTTACACATCGGAGTTACCTCAACCACCAGACATCTACAGTGAGTTGTTCGAGGAAGTACTGGAAGAAGTCAATGAGTATGTGGAGAACTTCTCGGAATTAACAGACTACCAGGGCACAATGAAGATATTACCTAAAGTAAGCATGACAGATCTAATATCTTGTGAACAGGAAACAGTTATTTAAATTATGAACGAGTAGAGAAGAGGCTACTGGAGAAGAGCACGAGCGCTGAGAAAAGACTCGGCGCCAGGCTTTCAGATTACAGATTTAGAGAAAGTGAGAGTATTCTAGAACATGGTATTTCTCTCTTAAGACATTTAGGGGCTTACTGCAAGCCACAACGTAATTAGCTATTCCCGTGCTAGAACGTTGTTTTTGTTTAATGTTACAGCGGAATGCAACAGAAGTCAATTTTGATTGTTAATCTGTTAAGTGTACCTGTTGCCAGTTAGTAGCAAGTGGTAGATTTTTTGTCGTCATTACCTGCTTGACGTAGTAATTCAGATTTCAATTCTATGGAAAATGTGGCGTAATGCTTTTGACAAAAAATTTAATCAGAAAAATGAATCACAAGAAAGCTTTCAAATGACTTCCAGTGTATGCGGGTTTTATTAAGAAGCCCTAGTGGATCGAAGGTGTCGTTTAACGGCCGAAATAGAGAATAATCAAATGATAGATACCCTCTGTTAATCAACGGAGATCCGAGAGACAAGTTTGAATCACCTCTCATGGTGTGGCAACTAGTAACCCATCCCCCCTCCCCTCACCAGCGCACTATTTGCTACATGTTACAAACTGGTAATTACAATGTAACCAGTAATTAGAATGGGTCAGAGAGTATTCCCTTGTAACAGAAGGATAATCTTTTACCTTACTCAACTAATTTAAGAGGCTGAATTTCCTTTTATAGAATGCATATCAAACAGGGCTGACAAGTCACATTCCTGACACCAGCCTCGATCCCAGAATCTTTCTCCTCTGTTGAATGGCTTGATTAAAAGAATAGTGGAAGTAAAGGAGAACTGGCCTGAAATCGGGGCTGTTCTGGTACGGAAAATTTAGGAAAGGCTATGACAATTAGGTCATTTTTGTCATTGTTGTTGTTTTAAAGATAGACACAACTGTATGCTTGATGAAAGTAAAGCCTGTCTAGCTTTCCTAAGAAGCTTGCCGCAATTTTGAGCGTACAATAAAAGAAAAGATTTTTTTATATATTTGGTAATACGTGGGGTTGGATTAAAACTAAATTATATTTTAATGGTAAAATATGAAGTAAATATGCTTGAGAGCTTTTTATTTTGTCAATCAAAAAATGATATATCTATATAATAAAGTCTGTCTATGGAGTAGTTAGAAGCTTCAGTTTTTGTTTATAGGGTTATGGTTAACGAAAAGAAGCTTTGAAGAAACGGGAGTTTCGGTATATTTATTGCTTTATATATAACTCAGTATATGAAACGAATCTAAACCTTACATCCAAATATCAGTTCACTCAAAGCTCTACTTGAATTAGTTAGAGTATCTGGAGTAATTATTTAAAGGCAGTGTTGCGAAATGTATTTAATGTGTTTTGGGACCCAGTCAGTGAAAATATATAATTAACTGGTTTGCTATTTTTGAAGTTGGTGAACCTAATTAGGAAACTCTTCTATGAAGAGTTTAGTCTAAGCCAGGAAATAAATTATGATTGTTTTGCCGTAATAATTGAGTGTTTGCATTATCCCCCACAGTCTCCGGCTGTTTTTGCCTGTTTCTCCAGATCTCTCAGAGACAGTGTCAAATGTATTGCGTTGGATAGAAGTTTAGGAAACCAATTAAAATAGCGTTATTTTTTTTTTTTTTTTTTTTTTTTTTTTTTTTTTTTGGTGTTCAGCTCAGCCACAAGGCCGCGTCGCTCTCTGCTACAAGACTGTTGTTGTATCTGTTTTCTCTACGTTGCCCGTAGGAGTCTTTCCCCTCTTGTTACTTGCTGGGCCCAGGGAAGAGGCTGACTTAATAACTGGTCCACATCAAGGTTGTTCTCATATTTAGCCCGATAAAATGCGATGAAATGGAGAACGACGTTTTTAATTTCAAAACGCAAAAAATTTGCTTATGTACTAAAAACGTTGACACCACAACGATCCCTGCAGCAGAAACACACGATGGGATCCTCGGTGGGCACTCGAGCAAAATAGGTAGGTATGAGTGTTCCAACTCATACCGTTGAAGGCGGACAAGATTTTGACAATTTTAGTAGTCTGTATAAGCCTCATTCGGTATAAATCCATTCCTTTTGGACTGTGCACAAGAACTGTTCTGAAATACATCATAAAATGATTGTCTCAAGTTGCAAAGCAAAAACGCGCTTATTCCGCTGGAATCCATTTACTGGCTGGTCTAACCCGAATAGAGCTAAAAAAAACAACAACAAAAACAACCTACCTTAGTGATCTTTTTAGTTGTCACAATTTACGATGAATGCACCATGCGCGAAGACAGGCACGCCCTTGGTTATCGGCAGATTGAACGAAAGGAATTCATATCGGACGGAATGGACAGACGGATGTCGGAAAACACGTCTGCTTCACATTCATTGTATCTGCTATCGGCTGCAACGAATACTTGCACAAATGATTCCAGATGAGTTTTTTGACAAAATACATACTGTGCATCAAAGTTATAGCCTTTTAAGACACGAAAAATCACCAGTGATGAGGTGCTTTTATCACAATGAAAACTCGAATTGGAATCCATTTCTGGGTTCGATCACTGATAAATCATTTGATATGCCTGAAGTTTTTTTAGACAGGTTAATACAATTCGAAATTCCTTTCGTAAAACGCAAAATTTCCCGAAACCACTGATTATTATTAAAACATCAAAATGGAAATATGAAATCAGGAAAGGACGAGAATTTTTAACATTGAAAAGTAGCGACACAGACTGTAAGGGACTCACGTGGCTAAAGGTTCTCAACTTCGCAAACTGTGATGTGGCTCTCTTAACCTTGCGTGACAATATTGAATCGTATGACATTTCTTCTATCCAATCAACGTACAGGCTTTGACACACCTCCATCACGCCCTTTTATTGAAATGTTTCTGCATTAATATGAGTAGCCCCGCGTCAAGTAACAATGTGGCCTTTTGTTATCCTGGCTGATATTTTAAATTGCTGTGGCGCAGTTCAACCCCCGCTTTCATGCCTGATGATTTTGCAAACGACGAAGCTTTAATTGAGAAATTTACGATAATATTACGGCGCTTTACAGACACGACAACTCTTGAGACTTGATCGACTCCTTTGAAACAAGGTGAGTAACGAGAACTAGCTGAAACTTTTGGATTGCTGCATAGAAAATTTCATCATATGCTCTGTTAAATTATTGTCCAACAACATGAAAGCAAATTTTATTTTACGTTTTGTGCAGAAAAGTCTAGTTTCTCTTTTGTGATATGTGCCCTCTTTGACTCTCATATTGCATTATGTAACTCATTTCTACGATTTGTATTACATAATTCTTTTTTATCGCACTTAGTATAGTTTCACTTTCGATTATTTTGAGTAAGAATCATTAGTATAATGATATTGAGGTCATCTTACGTTCAAGTTTCACGACCGTTTATTCCGCCAAACAAACTGGAAAAAAGATGAAGTCTTATGCAATCTTTCACAACTATGGCCACATTTCAGACTGGTTGTTCAGTGCACGAGTTCACGGTATTTTTTTAAAGGATAAGAGAGGCTGTCTTCCAAATAATATTTTTAAGTCAGTTGCGATTTGACAAATAACATTCTTTCGGTATCAAAACACTGATTTATATAAAATTCATATTTCTGGCCAGAGATCTAGGTTTTTGGTTACATTCATCAGTGAGTGCGCTACCACAAACTACATACAAACTCTGCTCCATGTGCGGAATTATTCGCCAGACAGCGAAGCTATAATCAACAGAACAAAACTGCTGACCAGCGAAGGTCAAGTATAAAGAATCAACTAAACTTGTTTTGTTTTATCTCAGATTATTAGCTTTTTAGTAAGTTAAATTCATTCACTTTCTTTCAATTTTTATACAGAATGATTGGCTCGGGAAATTTTTTGTTAGAGAGCGCATGTCTACTAGAAGTTTAGAAAGAAATCCAGACATTTAGAAAGTTTTGTTGCTTTGACAATAACGGAGTCTTTGTTTATTGGTGTCGCGCGTAACATTAAATTTTGAAAAAGGTGAATATTGAAGTTTACATATTCACTTGAGTATTGTAAAGAGCGTTTACGCGAGTCAATATCGCTCTAGTGTAATCTTCCATTCGATAACGACGCCATTTGATTTGATAATAGATCCGTAGGCAACTTCCACAGTACGGTCAAGAAAAGACCCTTGCAAGTGCAAAATGAAGGCTCTGTACAAATGTGTGTGGTTTAGTTAGAGACGAATTGGGCCTCTGTTATGTTCACACGCGGTAAATTTTATCGCCAAAGCGCGGTTACTTGAAAGAGTGTTTCATACATGTGGGCGAAATTTCCTGCTTGTGGTTGTTGTGCGATGCAAGTATCGGTATTTGGATAATCTCGGTGTCCAAACAATTCGGAAATATTCTAGTCAAAAGTGAAGATTTGTAAAATCTATTCTGACCGTTACAATGCTTATTTCATCTAGACTGAAATCGTGTTCCCACGAAACATGTTGTTAGCAAAGCCTCTTCTAAGTTGGGAAGTTTTGTGTAGAGGCGACTCATAAGATCTTTGAAAACCTTTTAAACCATTCCGCCCCCCATAATCGCGCTCACTCAGCCACCTCTAACATACTAACATACTCTAACATACTCAGAGGAAACATTTTAGAGTTTGATTTAGGATAATTGCTAGTGCCACACAGAAAAATTATCGCTGAAACTTACACTTGAAAAGAAGACATGTTGTTCAGGGAAACGCCTGGTCTAGGAAACTAAGTAATGAATCGTAAACCCTGTTCAACTGACCCTAGACCGAAAAAATAAAGTAAACTTCAGGCTCAATTTGTGGGCTAGTCGCAAGCGATCGAAGTCTTAACATAGTATTTCTACGCTCTGTATGATCAATTTTGCATGCTTGACCCAGCTTTTGAATAATTCATAGTAGCAGAATGATTGGAACAACAAATACAGTCGGCCAAATTTATCTTGAATGATGTCCGATTCTTTTTAAAGCGTTAATGCATGAATAAACATTTTTACTGAGTTTTATTTGTTTGGATTGTTTTGGTTTAGATTGGATGATTCTTTCCAAATATCAAATCTGACAAATTCATTCGACCAATTAATCCTGTTACAAATATATCCTGTTATCAAATATATCACTGCATTTCGTAGATAATGCTATTGTATGATGGTTTAATTATTTAAAGCAGGTCATTCCTATCTGTTATTGCTTTACGTCAGAGTGAATATTCGCGAAACCAAATATATCCGCAAGTAATCAAGAAAAGTTTGTTTCAAAGATGTTGCTTTATGAGAAATTTCGAAGTTTTAACAGTTTAAACGCCTTTTCTTGTTTAAAATGCTAGTTTTACATTCGGAACGTTAGTAGAAGGTACTATGACAGTCCTCAATGACAAACAGTTCATCTGTGGTTGCCAGGCCAGGTATGCAAAAGATACTAAAGAGTGTTAAAAGTTTTCATTTTAAAGGACGTTAATTTTCAAGCTTTGAGCCAGGAGAAAATGACTGCAAAGTGTAATTAGTAAAGACGGTTACAGCGCAAATGATATATTATCTAAGTAATTACACTGTATTGAGAATTGCAACTCAAGCAGATATAAATAATGTATGGATGTTTTAAGGGAAAATATAGAGCATGAATGATGGAAGGTAAGTTGTAAAATTGCGCCTATGCGATTCTCCTTCGGTCTGTATGTAGCTTAGCATCGCTCTGCGATTCTTTACCCCAAAATTCTTACCCAGCACCGACGACAAATGGTTAAGTTTAGCCATCCTCGAAAAGGAAACGTTTTAAGTTCCGCAGTGTATGTGGCATTGGGTGAAAGATCGCGATCTCCATCGCATTTATGGTTTTATTATAATTTCAATTTGTATTTGGAACTCATTTTTTCCTAGTTCTTAGTAATTGTAACGCAATTCAGTCTACGGACTGCCATGTTCGATATTCTAATAAACTATCTATCTATCTATCTCTATCAGTCTATCAAAGTAATGTAGAGTTATTCACTCGCAGGGGACATGGAAAGCATTGATTCTATTTCTCGATTTGTACATCTTTCAACGTTACCAGATTTTTTTTTTCTTTCCTCCAGGTTGTTTTTTTTTTCTTTCCTCCAGGATTAGTTCAGTATTTTCGCATTGGTTGATGGACCCAGCATTCAAAGCATTCAAAGGATGACAATAATTCCAATGAAATCAAAAGTATTTTCCCTGATGGAAGTTTCTCTTCACACTGACATGTCTTCCTGTTGGATTGTTATTCGGGATAAAGTGTATGATGTGACCAATTTTTTGGACGAGGTTGGTTAATGATTTATGTGATGAGGATTAAATAAATTTGTGTTTTGTACAAGAAGATTGTTCGTACATGGCTTCCAATGCAGTATCCTTCAATTCTCAAACAGCATCTTAAATCTGCCCCTTGCGAAATTTTATTCAGGCCATTATAAAGAATTACAGTTGGACACCTGTCATAAGAGGACCTTTTTACAAATAGGAGCGCCGAGGGAGGCAGCTTCGTTTGAGCCCATATCAGAGCTCTTTAAACTCTCTATTTTGTAACCGAGCCTGATTATATAGTGGTGACAATATCCAACTTTATTTAGTGAGGGTAAAACATAACTTAAGACCCTGCATGACTGTATGACCAAAATGATTGAAATAAAAATTATGAAAACTAATCTGGTAAATTGTCGAAAATGATGATTAAAACAAATTAAAAGTACATAATTCCAGTAGGCTCCTGAAGCCAATTCGGAGCTCCACGGTATATTTAGTTAACAGTCCTGAAAAGCTGAGTTTCGTCTGCGAAGTATTAATACTTTCGACTTTAAGTTCAGGCAACTGAATAAAGTTATAACGTAACTCTCATCGCTGGTTTGAGTTTTAGGTGCGTAAGGAAATTCGAAAATGGGTCTTAGCTGACTCGCTAATTGCGACTGATGAAATCTCGTCAACCAAGTTAGAAATATTTTCCCATTGACGCAATGTAGCTTGAAATGTTGCGACTTGTTTACCTCGATAAACGTGGTCATACTTCCAAAACGAATAGAAAACAGTTCGTCTTGCGACCACAGACCAGTTTGGTTATCGAGTTTTATACATTTTATAGTGATAGCACACTTAATGCAAGTCTGACCCACATATATTTGTAAAGTTAATTAACAATTATTGGCTGAGGTTGAGCATGCTGGCGGTACTTATCAAGACCGCAGTTTGTGTTATCTGCCGATGAGGAACTGAGGCCTTGATAATTATCGCCATCATACGAAAACCGAACCGTTAATTGTTTTAATATGCATATTCCTGAGCTGCCCTTATAAAGACAAGAGCGCATAAAACTATTGTCTGTGGTTATGACGTCACTTCTACATATATAAAATTTATTATTTTGCTCTGCACATTTCTGCATCGAGCATTCCAAGGATAAGTGAAACAACTTTATTTCTTGTTTATTCGTTTAAAATTTATTGTCTGTAGATATGACGTAAGAGAATGTATAAAAATTATCTTTCTCCAGTTGAGCTTGTTGATTTATTTTTCGGTCTTCATCAGCATCCAGGAGGAAGGGAAATCATTCTAGAACACGCAGGTGAGTAGGTAGAAAATCTTCAGATGAAAATAAAGTACGACTGAAGTATTTCATTGAGGAAATTTTCGCCATTTAGCCCGAATGGCAAAGTATCTTTGAACTTAATATGAATTGAAACCGGGGTAAAACAACTCTGTCTTTTCTTTACTTGAAGAGCGATTCTTTTTTTAGAACATATCAATAGAGCTCATAAAACCAATAAAGCCTTAGTTTTTTTAAATTAAAATTGTAAATTTGCTCTCTGCGTGTTCCATCGTCATGATTAGTCTAACTTGGTACAGATATTATATTACTCAGCTGGAATAACTTGAACTAACGCCGGCTCATTTCAGGTATGGATGCTACAACTGTATTCCAAGACATAAGCCACTCGATTGAAGCTCAAAAGATTCTCTCTAAATATCAAATTGGAGAACTGAGAGAGGTTAGTATGCAGTTTGAAGTCAAATTTGTTAGTGGGACACGTAGTGGTTCTGTAACTAAAGCCCCCCCGGGGGGGGCAAGAGTGGCCCGGCCCAGGTTCGAGATCTGACGAGTCATTGTGTTGTGGCTTGGAGCTCTATTCACTCAGTATCCGACCTCCTTTTACTGAGAAGTGTAAAAGGATTCCAACGAGCTGTGAAAATTATAGGGGGGTCACTTGCAATGGACTAACATCCCATCGACAGAAAGGGGAACAATGCCTCTAATCGTTTCACACCACGGTGATTGTGAGAGGCTTTGCTATCTTATGGACCACACAGTTAGTGCTGACTTAATAATTTACATAGCGCAGACCTCTATATGAATATATTCAGTCGCGCTTCACAATATCGTAAGATAAAATTATGGCAAAAGTAACTAAGATATAAGAACCTAATGGAGCCTACGAGTCTATGTACTCAAAGAGAACAATAGCCTAGCTAAGTGAATAAGAAACACGAGTAAAAAAAAAAATCTATTTGAAAGCTAGATTAAAAAAATTAGTTTTGATAGCAGTCTTGAAAGTGTCCAATGTCTTTATGTTACGAATTGTCGAACGTAATGCATTCCAAAGATGAGGTGATTGGAAGGCACGATCACCAACGGTTGGACGGGTCCTGGTGCTTGATAATTCGAGTAATAAAGACTCGTTTGACCTAAGAGAGCACCTGGATCGCCTTTTGATGCTAATTAAATCAGTCAAATAGTTAGGGGCTAGACCATATAAACACTTAAATGTCAAAGGGAGAATCTTAAACTTTAAACGGTAACTAATCGGGAGCCAATGAAGGTGAAAAAGTAGTGGTGTAACATGGCAGTATTTTGGTGATCCAGTGACCAACCGAGCTGCGGCATTCTGTATCCGTTAGAGTTTCATGATATGTGAATTCGGGAGGCCATATATTAGACTGTTACAATAATCTATTCTACTGGTTTTGAAGGCATGAACTAATGTTTCGGTAACTGAACGACTTAGATATTTCCTAATTCTACGTATATTGTAAAGATGATAGAATGCTGATGAGCAAGTTCTGTTAATATGACTAAGCATACTCATCTTCGAATCAAACCAGATTCCTAAGTTTCGAACTTCAAGTAATGGAGCAATTTTGGAGTCGCCAACCGATAAGATGCTGTTACTGACTTTCTGAAGTTGTTGTCGCGTTCCAATCAAAAGATATTCTGTCTTATCCGCATTCAGTTTTAACTTGTCCGTTTGCATCCAATGACTAATGTCAGCGATACATGATTCCATGACAGTTAAGGCAGCGAATTCCTCCATGTCATTTCCTGGTCTAAACGAGATGTACAGTTGTGTGTGATCTGCATAACAATGGGGATTGGGAAGATGTGTTTCGATGATCCTAAAAAGCTTGCTGGCGTAAAGAGAAAATAATAGACGGCCCGAGACAGCTTCCTTGTGGAACTCCAAATTCAAGATTAAAGATATTCGATCGGACTCCGTCTATAGAGATACGCTGGGTTCTGTTAGAGAGGTACCATTCAAACCAGTTAAGTGCAGAACCTGAAATTCCAAAATCAGATTGAAAGCGATGCGAGAGAATACGATGATCAACGGTATCAAACGCGGCGCTTAAATCAAGAAGCACAAGCAACGTGACGCACTGATCTTCCATGTTCATCAAAATGTCATTCTTGACTTTAAGGAGGGCGGTTTCTGTACTGTGGTGCTGTCGATAGCCTGATTGCAGTGAAGGAAAAAGATCATTCTCGTTAAAGTAGCATTGTATCTGATTAGCTGCCACTCTTTCAGCTGATTTTGAAATGAAGGAAAGATTGCTGATTGGTCGAAAATTTTAAAGACTAAGTCAAGACCTTGTTTTTTTTAACAGCGGTGTAACAACTGAGTCTTTACAATTATCGGGGAAAAATCCGGATTCAAGCGACAAGTTTATCATGGTTGATAATATCGGGAGTAACTCATCAAGGCAATCTTTCATGATGTTAGTAGGAACGGGGTCAAGTGAACAAGATTTTGTCGGTGCTCTAAGCACAAGTTTCCTTAAATAGGCCACGTGTACACGGTGAAAAGCAGTAAAGGACGAAGAACGGTGAGAGTAATGGTGGTTAATACTGCTGTATGAATTCTCAGTTTCATCAAGGTTAACACAAAGATCCAGTATTTTCTTGACAAAGAACGACCCCATGTCATTCGCCAAGGCAAATTTGTCACAGTGCGGTGGAAAGAGCGTTTTTGCTGACTGATTTAACAGTTTCTTTGTAGCAGCAAAAAGCTTGCGTTGATCCCCAGAAATGTTGCTGATGAAATTTGTGTAGAATCCGCAACGAGACTTATCCATGAGAAAGACAACTTTATTCCTAAAAGATTTAAATGATCTTCGGTCTGATGCAGACTTTGTAGCCCTCTAATTACGCTCGGCTCTTCTCCGGTCAAGCTTCGCAGATCTGATCTCATCAGATAACCATGGAGCTTGAGCTCTTTGAATCATCTTTCTCCTCCGCCAAGGTGCGTGATTATCAATGATGGACTTCAAAGAAGTATTAAAAAAAAAAAACAAATTAACTTGAGTTGCTAACACAATTACAGGTAACCCAGTAGTTTACATTGTGGGCTGTAAACAAATAATTCAAATTGAACATAATTTTGTTAAGAATCCCAACTGGCCGGAGGCAAACCAGTTGGCTATTTACAAGCATGGCCAAGGATTTGAACTCGGAGCCACCGTGAAACAAATCCAGGGAGTGGTCAGAGCGTGACTTGAACCCGGGAACGACGGATTGCGAGTCCGACACGCTGACCACTCGACCACGCTGCCTCCCTTAAAACAATCAACAAGACCAGCAAGGTCCCTAGGGGTGTTTAGCAACAATTCTGAATTACAAAGATCATTCTTAAACTTGGGAAGATCAATCGATTTAATTTTCCGAAACCACATTTCCTTGACAGAGGATTCTGACTTGGAACCTTTTAAGTTAAACAACATAGTCACGTGGTCGGATAAAAAAAGAGCCTGAAATCGGTGTGTCGAGGATGATATTGTCCATTTTTCTGGTGAAAACTAGATCCAGTGTATGTCCATGAACATGAGTTGCAAAGTGCACATGCTTTGCAAGTCCGAATGAATCAATAAGGTCCACAAACGATTCAGCATTGGGATTATCCTGTACATCGACATGGATGTTAAAGTCACCGCATAACAATATGGGCTCTTACGTATATGTGCACGATCCTTCGCAGTAAAGCACTATTTTAAGCAATAGTGAAAATCAGACCTGAAAAAAATTCAGGCCTGTACGGGATTCGAACCACTGACCTCTGCGACACTAGTGCAGCGCTCTACCATTTGAGCTAACAAGCCAACTGGGAGCAGGCCATCAAATTAATTCGACATAAACCCGTAGATGATAAATCAAACAACAAACATATGAAATACATATATATGAACTGCGGTTATGAAACAGGCCTGAACTTTTTTCAGGTCTGATTTTCACTATTGCTTAAATAGTGCTTTACTGCGAAGGATCGTGCACATATACGTTTCATAACCGCAGTCCATATATATGTATTTCATATGTTTGTTGTTTAATATGGGCTCTGTGCATAATACAAATGATTCAAGGTACTGGGACTTAACCTATTTTGTTGTAAGGGTGATCTGAGATTTTACTTCGCCTACCGCATAAAGATGGGGGAAAATGGCAAGCAACAAAACCTTATATGTCTAAATGTTTCCGAGAAACCCGATACATTTTGACTGGTGCCCTGGGTGTGGTGTCGATCGTCTCAACAGTGAAAATGAACCGCGAAAACCAGAAGTGATTCTGCATACTAGAAATCTTAGGCCATGTTGTTGTCCTGTTTTTGTTGCAGTTTGCTGATACATTTTGAAAACTAATCCGTTCTTGTTTCTTTTAGAAAGACAAAATCTATAACTCCAAGCCTAAACCTTAAGGATCGAGGTAAAGTGTCATAAGTTTTGTCTAATATAAGCTGTTACCACATCACTCATTGCAATTCTCTGCTAAAGGAACTCTCTACGTCATCAACGATAGTGCTACAAATAAAACTTTCTCCGTTGTGTTTCGTTGGCTTGATCGAAGTGATCTCTGATTGTTCCCATTGTGGTCCAGAAAGTCCGGCTTCATCGTATGTTTCCATGTGTTATCTGGCTTGGTACATCTGTGCACAAACTTAGAGGTACAAAACCTGGCCAAGAAACAGGTAATAACAGATTGTTGTTAAACGTTTTATTACCAGATGTCCTCCTTGGCACCACCAATTAAGACAAGATACATGTCTAGCGTACGGATATTTGGTTTTCTGTTGATCAATGGCTGAATAACAAGGCACCAAGTTCTTCCACACAACTTTAAGTGGCAGTTGTGAAAAGAACGAACAGTAGAAAGGAAAATGCAGGAATTTCAAGAGAGACTCTCATGAGTTCTTCGTGGGAGACATAGGCTTCGCTCTTAAGACACAATTTTGTCATTTAGTACTGAAAAGATGATCATACATTGGTCATCCGTGAAGTTCATATTTAGGCGTTTCTCCTTCTAGCAAAAGTATTTTGTAGGTGAAAAACCAAATCGGATAGCCATACAGCAAACGTATGTCTCAAAACTCTTCTGTTTGATAAACGTTACAGTTCTTTTCCAACTAACCAGAAAAAAATCACTTTGAATTCAGTAACACTTCCATGTAAATCCTCAAATTTAATTTTGCATTCTTCTTGAATTGACGGTTCTGTTAGCGATAAGTATCGCTAAATCGTTCAGTAATTTCTTTACAAATACCAATTGTTGTTGGTGATCACAAAATCTTCGGTAGAGATATAGTCTTAAGTGAAAAATAGACAGTCCAATACTGCATGTGGCTACTGGTGTAGCACAATTGTTATAGCAATGAGAAGAACTACAAGTTTTATAGTGATGCTCTCTTCCGTAGGATAAAGTTTGAATTCATTTGAAAAACCATATGTTAATTTCATATGACTTAATTAGAAAAAAAATATTTGTAACATGTAAAATTTAGATAAGTTGTCTATATCGCTGAAATTGGTAGAAAGCTGGAGACCCGATTTAAGGAACACCTTTAAAGTAAATTCGGGAGAAGACTTGAATGCCGTAGAAGAGCATATAAAGAAACTTTGTGACCATTATTTTTCCTCCGACAACGTTACCATCTTACCGCAAATAATTCCATCCTACTGCATCATGCTTACGGAATATTTCACCCTTTGAATGAATCGGTTTAAGTAGCTATATCTCGTAATTTTTCTTCTCAATTACTAGCTTGCGTTCAATTCGCTAATTTTTGCACGCTGAGAGGTAAGTATACCTTACCAAGGAATGTTCGCTTCTTCTCCATCAAAAAGTCCCAACGATGTAACCTCCAGCAATTTATTCTTGGGAAAAACAGAAGTTGTTGCAATTTGTTTTCAACAAAGTGCAAGAACACAGGCGCGGCAATAAGAAAAAGTGTACCTTGCGCCGGCTTCTACCATTGCTTTCACTGTGATCAAAAAATATTTCACAGATATCCAGTTGATTTCTGATTAAACTTTATTATTCTTAAGAAATTCTGCCCCATATAAAAACGTTCGGATTGAATAAACTTTTTGCCTGCCTAGCACCTGACGGAAAGCATTAATTAAAGCTTACTTGAAATTTAGGCTTCTTGGAATTTTCTTCGGCTTCATCAGCCACTCAATTTTGTCCTGCAATTTTTTTGCGATCTTTGGTCTGACGAGACGTTAGTAAATGGCAACTTGACCTAGAAACAGCTCGTTTCCGGTCTGGGCCATCTATACAGCCTAATTCTAACTTAACAAAGCTTTTCGTTTAACCTGAATTTATCCCGGCGCCTTGTTATGGACCAGTGATGTCAGAACTTCTATATGTGGCAACCTATCGACCAGGGCGGCAGGACTGTAAAGATGGAGGCAGGTGGTCAAGTCTTTCGCATAGCAGGAACACAGAAAAGGAAAAATAGGGCCAGACGCGGTAGTTCAGCCAGGCGAATTGCGCTGCATTTGTTCTGAATAAGATGACATGTAATTAGCACAAAAAAGTGAATAAGTGAATTAAAAGGTGTCTGTATAAACAGCTCAGTTAAGAATTGCACATGCTTTCCTTCAGTCTTTGGTCATGACTTCAGTAAACAAGCTCAGATCATTGCAATTGGTATCAATTGTTCGTTCAACGTGTTGCTGAGGAAAAGTGCAGAAATTTAAAATCCATGGAGACTGAGCCAATTTTACAGTTAGGGGCAAGATTCTTCCCAGATCCTACCATCCTCGTTAAGGTAGGGGCCTAAGTTCCATATAAATCGCTTATGTTCCTTTCTTTGTCGGCAAACTTTCTTCTCATCTTGCGTGCACTTGGTACATACAAACTGGCAAGTATCCCCCCGCCACGAATGAGCAAACGTGCAGCGATCGATATCGTGAAGCTGGGAACTAGGGTTTGTGTGAATTTTGCATTCCTTGGACTTGTACTCTCCAAGAACCAACACCCCATGATGAAGCTTTCCTTTGTCATCAATGCCTGTTGGCTGAAATTTGCGCTTCTTTTGTCCCTGTTTCCCCGTGACGGTTTTAAGTCTGCTGACCGTTTGGGACTTAGCCGGCGCAGCTACGGATGGACTATTGTGACTTTCTGCTGATTCTTTTTCTCCGTCTACTCCGTATTTAACGGCTGTTGCATACGAAGGTGAGGCTGTTTCGTCGGACACAATCCGAAATCCTGTACCTGAAACTTTCGGAAGTGTCGCAGGAGGGGCTTCTGATTTTGCGCAAGAAGACATGTTGCCAGGCGCAACATGAGAATCACCATAGTATTTAGTAGGTGTTTTTGTGTCAGTCGGTTTACAACCAGTTACCTCAGTGAAATTAAAAGTCTCTTGCTTTATCAACATTGAATTTCTCTGTGCATTGCTCTCCGAGTCAATTGCTTCGTTGCCATCTTGATTAACGGCAGAAGAAACACTGTTACAATTGGCGTTTGATTCTCCTGTAGACATCTCATTCATCTGCTCCTTCTCTTCTAGGTCTCCATTGATAGTAGAATAAGTGTCTTCGTCTATTGGATCGAATGCATACGGACCAGTCACGGAAAATCCGACATAAAACCATAAGTTGTCCCTGCTTGGTTTGGGATAGAGCATGTCGTCAAAGCGAAGCTTAATTCCATGATAAATAATGATACCTTTAGCTTCTTTTTGACCCTTCACACGCAAGAGTACGTCGGAGACTTCTTTGCTTCTCCAGAAGTGAGTCTTGTTCCTCCCTTTTCTCTCTAGAGTAGGAAACCTTTGACTGCTTACAATTGCGGAAAGGCCCTTTCCCTTTCCAAGGAAGTATTCAGCCCCCGAAAGCCGAACTTTCCAGCTTGTTCTCTCTTGAGCAATCCGACGACATTCCTTAACAGAAGCCAATGTTTTAGAACCATACGGTGCCAGACTACCATTTGGTAAGGGGAAGTGGATCATGCAATTAAACAAGTGTGCCCACTCTGAGTCTGGAAACCTCTGTACCCAGTTTTGTACAACATCATCGAGCTCTTTCACTGGTGGCTTTTCTTCACTTCGCAGTCGAAGGCACGCCCTCGAGAAAATCACCATGTCATCGTGATTCCCATTATCCTTCAAGCATACTGGCTTAAGAAGACGATAAATTGACGAAACTACTTCATCATCAAGGTTAGACCACCCACTATATAATGTCTCACGGCGCTTGAAAAGAGTATCTTGCACTATCTGTGGAAGGAGGTCAGGTGCTCCTTTCAAGACTGGCGACAAAGGCAATTTAACATCTACTAGGTCGCTTCTGTCAAATTCAGTAATCTCGTAGAATTGTCGCCGCAACTTGCAAGCTCTTATTAGTGCACTTCTTATACCATTCATTTCATTTTCATCATACGTGGTTAACTGCCGGTATTTGAAATCCCCGAAGAGTTTGTTCAGTAGGTCTAGAGTTGTTCGACTGAGACCCTGGACGTATTTATGGTCATCTGGCAAAAGTACTTCTTTCATCCCCTTAGGAATTTCTTCTCTATTTAAATAACGTGATAAAAGGTTACTGTCGAGAAGAAAGCACGGTAAGCCCTTTACAATTTTCAACAGCAATACGATCACTTGAATTTTCCCGATCATTGAGTAGTAGTTGAGTGACTGCATCATTTTAATTGCTTGGTCATACACTTCCAGCGCGTTACGGCATATGTGAATGACATCGGGAAGGTGAGACACGAGACTAGTACCATCTTGATCGTTGTAATCTCTCAGTTGTAAAACGTAGAGAACGCCTTTTGTTGTATAATGATGACTATAGCTTGGTTGCTGGTTGATAGCAATATCCACAGCAATGTGCGCTGCTTCAATCCCAGTTTTAGGTCTAGAAGATCTCTTCTCTCCCACTTCACTTTCTACCATGACGTTATAAAGGAGCTCATGCAGGATATCGGTTCTTTTAAGTTCTTCGGACCGCATCTCATAGCCCATGAATCTTGCCAGCTGTTGCCAGGCGTATGCTTTATACTCTGTTTGGTTGGCCTTCCGGCAGGTCGCAATTAGAAATTTTAAAGTCCTGCGATTGCCATCATCTTGTGCCTTTATGTCTAATATCAAGGGGGAGTACCTCGTGCGAACTTCATAAAACCCGAAGGGGTCGGTTTCAATATCTGAACCAATAATGTCGTCATCTGTTCCTCTTTCTTTCGATAGGCAAACTGGTTCGGAAATTCTCTTCCGATCTAGGAAAATCTGGAAGAGCTGCTGTCTCAAAAATTTGTTCACGTAGGCTACTCCTTCCTCTGCGTTTTCCAGTAGTTGAAGGGCAATTTCTTCAACATCCATTCTTGACTTCACAACTTCGCTCACTAGGTAATGGGCAGGTTGCCAACCGCTATACCCATGGGTCTCGTCGAACCCTTCAAGGAGAAGTCCTCCGAACAGGTCATGAATAAGATCCTTTCTTTGATGCTCTTCCTCGCCATCATTGCTCTCTTTGTAAAGCAAATCAACCACTAGGGGATGAGGCAAGATATAGCGGCTATTACTGTAGAAGTGAAGAAAGCAGCAGAAGTTGAGGAGCTTTTCGTGTAATGAATGGGAACTTCCCAGGGTGGCCAAAGTACTATCGATGTGATTCTGAAGCCGTTGCTCTATCTTGACGTATTTTCTGCCAAAAAGCTCCAACCCAAACCAGATAAATCGCTTTTCGCGCTCAAGGACCTCTTCGCCTTTCTTCCGTTTCTCGCTATCTTTAGTAATGTTCATTAAGATGTTCTTCACAAGCTGCGTTTCGTTCGGATCCAGTTGTTTCAGGGGCTTAATGTCAAAATATAAATCAGGGCCTGACTTTTCAATGGGAACGGTGGAGAGTATGACACATTTTGTCTCCATTGAGGTGAGACCCTTTGACAAACGTTGAGTGTCGATCTGAGGAAAATTGTCAATAAGTACCAGAACGGGAGGTGAATAATTAGGCTTCATCCTTTCGTAACCTTTACGTTGGAGTTCTTTGATCTGAAACTCGGTACTGGCTGTGATTGCCTTGACAAGTGCACAACGGCAGGCCTTCCGCTTCTTCCACAAAATTCTCCGACACAGAGTCGTTGCACCAGACCCCGGTTCGTAGGGGATAGTAACGGTCTTGACGTAGCAATTACGATCACCTCTTGCTTCACTGAGGGAGTTTAGGGCTTGGTCAATCTTTCGAGTTATTTCCTCCTCCAGGGTTCTCTGAATGCTGTGGTCATGGAAAAGGTTTACCTGGTTACACTGTGCACCTTTGTAGAAGGCATCTCTGACTTTTTCAATGTCCTTAGTCAAACGTGGCAATAGATTCTGAGGTTCTGGACAGTAGACTTCAAGATCAACCCAGGAGTTGATAACTTTGTTGAGAATTTCTTTTAGGCCGGTGATATGGGGAAGTTTTGTGGTAGCACCTCTTTCTTGAAACTCAAAAGGTCCGACCATTTCTTTAACAATTTCTTTTAGTAGATCCCAAGATATTCCGGTGATGGAACATTCTCTAAGTTGTTTTCTAACCAGAGGTGACCTAGAAGCCTTGATAAAAGCATCAGCGACCGCTTTATTTTCGCTTATAATGGTGACAGATTTCCGGGCAATTTCCTCACCAAGTATGCTGAAGCAGCTTTCTGCGATGTCTGACATTTCGAGAACGGCATTTTCTGCAAATCCAAGGAAAACAAACATTAGTCGCCCGGAGGGAAAGCTCTCCATGTAGGCAGTCAATGTTCGGTACAAATAGTCCTTTGAACATGTGATCCAATCTTCTTCCTCCATTCTATTTGGCTCCTTTAAAATCCAAGTAGTCCCTCTCAAGGAAAGGGGACAATCCTTGTCACCAATGGAACCTGAGGACACATCCTTAAAATCGTGGAGGGTCTTGATGTTTGCACGCGCGCCGTCGCCCACCTCGTTGCAAGAAAAGTATAAGCCATCTTCCTTTGAGGCAGCATCGAAGAGATCGAATACGGCCACCCAAGGAATGTTTTGCAAAAAAGATAATTTTGAAGTCCCTCTGTACTCAGGAGGTAGCTTGTTGGCAACAAGAATGTAGCGATACTCTTGAAGGTTAAGGTCACGTAAACGCTCTCTGACTATCGTGCTGAACTTCTGGAGGTCACCGTCATTGGTGCTCAGACCTGTAATCGTTAAATGCGGGATTTTTGTTTCAAAAATACTCCGTTCATTTCTTTTGGGATGGGAAGAGTGGCTGGACGTCTTTTTTTAAATCTTTGAATGTGTACGGAGACAACAGTATATTTTGTGGCAACAAAGAATCATTCCTAGTGACAAGCTGTTTTTACGCGCATAATGTGACAACTAGCGATGCAACTCGTTACACTGTAAATACTGATGCCACATCGTCTTAAGGGGGCACATGGCCTTATGAGCAATTTTTGAAACTGATAAGTATGCGCAGAAATAAGTATAGGGACCTGAAAAACTGATTTCAAAGGTAAAAAAAAAGGAACGAGAATGCTTGAGTCATTTTCTTAGAGATTGAATTATATTACATTGTATAAGCTAGGGAAATCGCGATGAAACTTTTTGAGTCTACGGTGCACGAACAATGACACTTGTGCTGTATCCTGTAGTAAGTCATGCACTTTCCAAGTTCGAAAAATACCAAGGAATACTTTTTCAAGCCTAATTCCAACTAAATCGCAAAGTGGCACATTGGAAATCATTTATGCATCAAACAAATTGTTACTGCAGGCGTTTAAGCGAAGCCACTTACCATCAGAAGTTAAACCACTGCCCCCTGGAAAGAAAAGAGTGAAACAAGTCAAATAATGATAAAGGTTGTAAGAAGGATGACTTTCACAGGAGTGTTCTTCAATGGAACAGATCAAGTAATAAAAATCCGATCGCTATGATTAATATCAACTGAGCATTTCTTCACGGATCACTTTCTGATCATAGGAAAATTACATATACTGCGACACACCGCTGTCCTTTACCATTGCTCGCATAGTCATGATCACAACTGCTGAGGTCTCCAAACTGACCACACGATGCCTTACCTATCCGATCAATAGATTGCAGGTCTCGTATAAGCTGTGTGTTTTTTTTCTTTTTCAATTAGCTACCTCAAGAAATAATTTAATTACCAAATGTGATATCCCGTTTCCATTCCTTGTACTTTGTAGATAGGGGGTCTCGTATTTGCCACTTTACTTCATTTGGTTTTACACAGCAAGATGCACCGTTGGTACGAATTGCGGCTTCCACACACTCGTCTTTTACTTTGAAAAAGTCTCGCAAGCCTGTCTTGCCAGTGCAGTCCCTGCTCTCGCTCTTCTCGGTCCAAACTTTGTAGTAATATACGTTATCTTTACAGTAAAGAAAGTCTCGAGCCACCTCAATTTCTATGACATGAAGATCATTTGAATTTTGCGTGCTCTTAACAGGGATGAAGTAGATATTAACACAATTTTGTTCCCCTCCTTTCTGAAGCAGCCTATCTTCGCTTTTTATGTGGTGATCAAGGACATCTTGGAAGGCTTTATTGATATCGTCTTTGATATTCTCAACGTCAAGTCCAATTATTTCTCCATGTCGGAACTTCGAGCCCTGCTCTTGAGAGTCTGCCACTCCGAAATATATTATACCTTTCCTGTCAGCATTTAAGCAGGCGCAAATGAACTTTTTAGCCTTCTCCATAATTTTCCATCTGAGTGACCCGGGGCTGGCGCCTGCGAGAGACTTAAATTCTACCTCTCTGTCTTCGTGAGCATCTAAAGCAGAGCCGCGCTGATAGAAGAAATCCACCTCTACCTTAGTTCCGAATTTCCTTCGTTTACCTGCACCAATAAAAGACAATAATGGTAAGAGCTTAAAAGTCGTGTCTTGCATTATGTTTACTCTAGGAAATTCTCTTTATCGTCCTCTATGGATCTCAGCAAAGCTTAGATTAGAGAGGATCTACTCAGTTTGTTTCTAGTCTCTCAATACATGGATACTGATAATGCAGGCGAACCACCGTGCCGAGTTAATCAACTATACGTTTTTGGACGGATAACTCTCTCAGTTCTCCAAGGAGGCAGCGATGCAACTTCATGGCTAACACAGTGAGCCATCACTTCAGAGATAAGGGGTTGATTTTTCTTGCTAAGTCGGCCAGGATCAAAAGACATACGTTTAAGTATAAAGCAGCATCTACCATGTAATCAATTGTCCCCGTATTCTCCTTTGATAGTCAAAGGTAGACAGCTATAATTACTGTTCTATATAATGTACAGTAATTATAAAGTAAGGCGCTCTTTTCCTTCACCCCCTCCATCAACGTGTGAAATACTCTAGAAGAGGACTGCAGAATTTCGCCGATACAAATAGTTTCAAAATATCCCAAGGCTGCGAGCAAATCATCATTTTCAAATTTGCTTCCTGGGCGTACTCACATTTTTGGGATACCTCCTCTGACCTTACAGCTGGCATTTTATTTACGTTACTCGTCTCTGTTGTGTCACCATACTGTTGGATTGGCGGCAAATCGTCATTTTGTCGCACTGACGAAATCGAAGTCATCAGTGGGGAAGAAAAGGTACCAATCACTGTATCTGCATACCGAGAGTTGGTGCCGAGGCTTAATTCACCTAAAGTTTTTTCGATGTATGGGTGTAGTTTATCGGCAGATAGTGTTCTGACTAGCGTGGGGGTTTCGTCAGTTCCCATGGGCGTTCCGTTTTTTTTCAGCCTTGATTCCTCCACCGTACCAGAACAGTTTTTCGCTTCTGTTGGTGGTTGGTGTTCAAGAGAAATTCGTAACGAGTCTATATCAGAATAGAAAGGAAATATTTGATCTTAAACGATATCGTAGAGTACAAAAGAAAAATTAATAAATAAGGAGCACAAAAAACAAATGTACCTTGTTATAAAAGTACCATTACTTCTGTTTAAAAATAAATAACGGTAACTGAATTGAGGGCATAGGGTAAAACATAGACTGGACTGTATATGTGCACGATCCTTCGCAGTAAAGCACTATTTGAGCAATAGTGAAAATCAGACCCGAAAAAAATTTCAGGCCTGTACGGGATTCGAACCACTGACCTCTGCGATACTAGTGCAGCGCTCTCTCTGCACTAGTATCGCAGAGGTCAGTGGTTCGAATCCCGTACAGGCCTGAAATTTTTTTCGGGTCTGATTTTCACTATTGCTCAAATAGTGCTTTACTGCGAAGGATCGTGCACATATACAGTCCAGTCTATGTTTTACCCTATGCCCTCAATTCAGTTACCGTTATTTATTTTTAAACAGAAGTAATGGTACTTTTATAACAAGGTACATTTGTTTTTTGTGCTCCTTATTTATTAATTTTTCTTTTGTACTCTACGATATCGTTTAAGATCAAATATTTCCTTTCTATTCTGATATAGACTCGTTACGAATTTCTCTTGAACACCAACCACCAACAGAAGCGAAAAACTGTTCTGGTACGGTGGAGGAATCAAGGCTGAAAAAAAACGGAACGCCCATGGGAACTGACGAAACCCCCACGCTAGTCAGAACACTATCTGCCGATAAACTACACCCATACATCGAAAAAACTTTAGGTGAATTAAGCCTCGGCACCAACTCTCGGTATGCAGATACAGTGATTGGTACCTTTTCTTCCCCACTGATGACTTCGATTTCGTCAGTGCGACAAAATGACGATTTGCCGCCAATCCAACAGTATGGTGACACAACAGAGACGAGTAACGTAAATAAAATGCCAGCTGTAAGGTCAGAGGAGGTATCCCCAAAATGTGAGTACGCCCAGGAAGCAAATTTGAAAATGATGATTTGCTCGCAGCCTTGGGATATTTTGAAACTATTTGTATCGGCGAAATTCTGCAGTCCTCTTCTAGAGTATTTCACACGTTGATGGAGGGGGTGAAGGAAAAGAGCGCCTTACTTTATAATTACTGTACATTATATAGAACAGTAATTATAGCTGTCTACCTTTGACTATCAAAGGAGAATACGGGGACAATTGATTACATGGTAGATGCTGCTTTATACTTAAACGTATGTCTTTTGATCCTGGCCGACTTAGC